GCCTGAACTTGAGCGATGAGGTACACCAGAAGTAATAAGGTGCTCATTAGACAAAACTCCAGAAACAGAGGTGAACGTAGACCGGCAGGTTAGGTATGATTTGTAAAACTCCACTGCTGTTTTATGAAAACCATAGACTTTTAGGTTGACACATATTAGTCCGTGATCAATTCTATCAAAAACCTTGGTCAAATCCATAGATACTGAGACACACGCTCTCTCATCAAGGGTCCTGATGATGTTGTCCACTAAACTAAGAAGAGCAGTTGCATGGTTTTATAACTCATGACTTATGGAATGGGAGAATTTCAATCGCGTCCAAAAGATCTAAGATTTGGAAATGATTTTCTCCTAGACCAGTGACAAAATTTTCAACAGTCTAATGGGCCTAAGGTGTAAGGAAATCACCTTTCTCATGGATGTTGCGAGTATTCAATAATATCATCAATGCCAAGCAATTGAGCATAAATCATCACAGGATGTTTTGATCAACTTAAAATCTTTGAAGGTGATGAATATGTACTGTAAGTCAGCAATCTCCAACAAGTAACATAAAAGTCGATGGTCGGATATTTCCTCAGGATCCAAAACCATTGTGCCCGTAATTTGAAAAAAGCTGCATCTGTGAGAGTGGCCCAAGTTTCCGTGACACGAGTTTGATCGTTAACCATTTTTCTGAAACCAAAGCATTTGTTCAGACTATTATCAGCATTTGATAAAGCTTCATATCACCTAGTACCAAAACGTTGTTGCACCTACAGATACACAACAGCAGGACAAAGTCCTATATGGTAACAAAATCACTAAAAGACGTAGACGGAGATCTGTGAATGACACCAGTGCAAAAAATTTCTTTATGAAGAATAACCTCAAGCCAGATGCTTTCCATAGCTGTGCTCGCATCAGTACCTAAGTCAAGAACTCCCACCTGCTACGTAGACTTAATCAGTCACAGCAAAAAAAAAAAACGAGTCGAAGTTAAAATTTCCATAGGATCAGAATAACTAGAAAGGAAATAAAGAACGTCAAGGCAACCAAATTTCACCGTTCTGAGATTTCAGTTCAAATACTTAATACTTGATTTCAGTTGCTGGAGCTTCATTAGATAAAACGGACAAGAGCGAATGTCTCACCGAGGCTGGGGATTTTTTAACTTGGGAATCGTTCAGTCATTTATCTGCCCCTGGTGAACAGATTCGTAAAGAACACATACTAATAGGCTTAAAATCATTCTCGTAAATGAGGTTCAAAATGCTCAATTGATACTAGGAAATTGCGGTCTAATATACACACATCATCAAAAGTGTTGGACCCCCTGGCGTACTGGGAAACTATAGCCTTCTAATTTCAATCTTTGATATATTTTAAATTGGGGATATTTTTACTATATTTATTTAACAAAACGTGAAATTAATTTCATTAATATGAAAAGAAAAAGAAAGTTGAACAAGTAAGGTACCAAAAATTTTATTTTAAAAAATCAAAATTAAAGAAAAATAATTATTCTAAAGAAAAATAAAATATAATTAATAACCACTTCAGTGTCCTATAGATCTTAGCAGTGCGTTAATACGCCCTTTCATTCCTATTATTCGGTGGTCAATATTTTCTCGGGGTAAATTATTCCACTCTTCATTTACTGCTGCAGTCAGCTCATGTAGGTGGATCTATTCTGTTCCGTACGGCTCGTGCTATAGTGTTCCAAATGTGGCTTTGCATTATCATCCATGAAAATGAAGTTGTTACCGAATTCATTTCGCAAAGGTTGAATAATGGGTGTATGACATTTTCTTCATAAATTTCTGCAGTCATTGTCCCCTGGATCTGAATTAAAGGACTCCGGTGGTTAAACATTATGCCTCCCCAAAACATTATTGATCCGCCCTGATATGGGACAACTTCTCGGGCCAAATCTAGTCGCTGTTGATGTCCTGGTTCTCTCCAAGCCCTTATTCTACGGTCATCACTCACCAGTCCAAACCTAACCTCATCTGTAAATACCACATTTCGTCACTGTGGTAAAAGCCACTCCTGATGTTCTCTAGCCCACTGGAGACGCGCAACAATTTGTCTACGAATAAGACCTGGAACCCTTAAAGGTCTTCTAGGGCGCAAATTTGCCATTCGCAATCTTCTTCTGATGGTAGAAGTGGAAATAACTCTTCGAAAGTTATGTTGAATATGCGATCTCATAGCTATACTTGTTGAAGATCTATTCCTTCGGGCAAATAGAGCAATGTGACGATTCTCCCTATCGTCTGTTACTCGAGGACGCCCACTGCGTGACCGATTTTCAACTGAGCCAGTTTCTTGGAATCTTTGAATTGTTCGAATAACCGAACTTCTTGGGATACCCAAATCCAGTGCTATTCGGCGATTTGAAAATACAGCTTGGAAGAGGGCTATTATTCGTGTTCTATCAAAACCAGATATTTTAGCTCGCGGCATTTTAAAAGGTACAGTATAAAATTTTATTTTAATACTTTTTGCTCAAACACTACCGTTAAGCTGACTTATTTCTATAAAAATCCAAACACATTTTTATCTCAACGGTTTTTTGCGTTTTTTACTTGCTGAATATATAAATATTTTTTGTTCAAAAACGGAATGTAGATAGCGTACCTCTAGACGGATTTATACAGGGAGTCCAATACTTTTGATGATGTGTGTGTATAATTGTCCATATTTAAAGCTAGGCTGGTGTATATTCTGCAAAATCCTGTCACTACTCTATTTTCAAAATAACTTAACGTTACGAACAAGTATTCTGGGATTCAATAATTTAGTCTTATGAAAAGTGTATTTTGAGCCCAGTTTCTGGGTTAGATGCAACATCAGCTAATCCCCATAAGCAGCCTCTTCAGAGTGAATTATAGAACCATTTTTGATTTTCTTCACTCAACTCAGGAGGATTTTAAGGTCTTGGATTAACATTTGTCCATGTACATTTGTGACAGATGTATCTTCTGATTTGATCGTCACACCAGGTGATGGTGTGTTATTAATAATGTTTGTTGCTACAGAGTATGAAGAACCATTGACGTTTTTTCATTACCTTGACATTTTCCTGCTGTTCTACACCATAGGAAAGGTTCATGGGTGAAGAATTTTCTAACGAAACATGTTTTTAGATTTATGTGCTGCACCAGGTTATTCAACAGATCAATTTTAGGCTTACAATAGTCAACCTTCAGCGGGAAACCTGCAGTTCCAGAACTGCCATTGCGTATCCCCAATAACGAGCAATTTCGCTACACTTCCGAAAAATTTAGAATGCATAAACATACTTCTCAGTCCCAGTATCACATTGAACATACGATTTACTAATACTTGTACCGCATAAATCACACATTTTGTCTCCCTGTGCAAAATAAGGTCCGTGTCGCCCGAAATCATCGCTGTGCTACTGATATGATGATGATGACACTCAAATGATACCACAAATGTAGAATTGGAATATTTACTGACGTTTTGGTCAACATATCTATTCCTCCATTTGGTAACCAGAAAAGGTGGAGATTCATAAGCGAGACAATTACATCACAAGCTTTATGGATTAGATAAGGTATCATAAAGATTTTGAATATCCAAGAGCTCATTCGATTTCGCATAGTAAATGCATTATTATTAGCCTAAATAATCTAATTACATCCTTTCCTCAAACATGACGCGTTCTATACATCTCTTTCAGCTCGTATATTGGAAACAACATATCAAAGGAACATTCAAATCTAATTGATTTCTGCTGAAGGAACCAATCGGAAAGATTTGATTTTCATCCTGGACACAGTATATAGGCAGTCTGCGAAAGGTTGGGAAATCTCGAAGCTGGAGATACTACAGACCAAAATATGTGAATTGACCTAAACATGCCTCAGTCCTAAAGTTGATAGTTTGCGTCCAAGTTACAATTCTATTGCCTATTTATCCGTATTGCTTGAGAAGTATTTCAGGTTTTGGCATGAAAGTCGGTATAGGGAGGTTTTCTAGTATGAGAAACAAGAATCTGTTATTTTTTTATGGCCAAACGTCTAGAGGGTGCCACTTGCAGCACTATTTCGGTAAATTGTCAGCGTTACGAATAAAAGAACAAAGATGACTTCACATCTGACTCATACTTAATGACCAGTGTATGTTTTATATCTCGTGTGTGAGTGTTAGCGTTCCTCTTTTGTATAGAAAAGCGAAAAACTCAATACATTTCTTTGGAAACAAAATACTGATAAATACACTCCAATCAAATAACCAAGCTCAGTTCTGTATAACATTTGATATGTGGGGTCAACTGAGTCTCAGCAGAGTGAATTTGACAGCCTTGTGTTGGATTCTACGCTGTGATAGTTGTAGTCACCGTTCTTGACGGCTATGTCATCAACGTTATATGAAATAGGTAAAGAGATCGAGTATCCGTACCATGAGCGGATCTACTACTGCTTCTCTCTCCAGTGCGCATGAAGTCACTGTTTTGGTTCTCTTCTTGGAAATACAATACAATCTGATATTGAGAATTGATAACAGGACAACTCAAATTGCACGCGAATGTCAAGTAGGTTGTCACTCTAACAAATATGGTTAAAGGGCACTCATATGTAACGACCGAACAAACTTTCACACAAAAGAGTAGGTTGCATGTGTATGTATGAGGGATCCTGGTAGTTTTACTTTAACCTGCCAAGAACGGTCACTACAACTATACCACCGACGTCGCCTGTCAGGACTGTCACCACTGACACCGTCGTCAGAAATTTTGTTGGTAGTCTGTCAGCAGTTAAGTCTCCGGGAGCTTCCAAAGACAAAAGAGGACTAAGATTTGATTAATTTCATGTAAGATGTGATGATATATTGCACTATTCTGTCAGGACTGGCACCATTGATAGCGCCGTTAGCCATTTTTTTAGTATTTTGTCAGCAGTTAAGTTTATGGGAACTTCCAACACATAGCAAAGAATTGAAGAAACGAAAGAAGTATGGCTAACATTTTATTAATTTCAGGAAATATGTGATGATACATTGCACTATCCTAACTTCTAAACGTTTGTCTGCTTATATATTTACTATAACCAAACCGTGGAGGAGACCCGGAGTCCAGAGTCCAGAGTTCAAAGTGTTGCCTCCATTACGATTACTCGTACTTTGATCTGGCTCTCTTCCTTCCCATATTGTCTGATTATAACATATTTTCATATCTAATGCAATGCTCTCATGTCCAAATTTTGTTTTCCAGAAAAAAATCATCAATAATTCACCAAAAGCAACCAAATAATGAAATTGTAGTCCAGAAGTCAGCACTTATGTTGTTCAGCATTCTAAAACAGAAACTTCTGCATGGTTTTCTGAACTTGTAGACCGAACACTACTCCACACAGTCCATGAACGCATAATAGACACCCACATCCTAATTTCGATATTACTACACTGACCTAATTGCATTGTGTAAGCAATTATTAGAAAGAACATGATAGGTGTGGTTTACTGTATTATGCGAAGAATGCTGCATTCCAGAACTATGCGGGCTAAGGCACTCTAACATAGTTAAGCCTCAATTATAATTTAATTATCGTGGGCGGTTGTATCCCAATAAAGGATGGCTTCGGTCGATGTCGGTCAACAAGAAATTTTCTAAACATTAACGAGGTGCGTTTGCCCACTTTATAGACATAACTTGTGATGAAAAGGCACATCGGGAAGGCCCCATAGTAACTAGATTATGTGACAATTTTGGAATCATGACTCAGTACTTTTATTCAGAAAGCAATGAAACCTCATGATCATTTTAAGCTAACAGTCGAACTATTTCCATTAGATAGTGAAACAGTATGTGTAAATACTCGTTGTCTGACTCACAGGTATGTGTACTGCATTAGAGATCATCTTCGTGACGTCATTCATTGGCTCACCTGAAAAGAAAAAGAATATGATCAGTGTATACGTAATAATATAAAAATTCGTCAAATTATGATATGTTTCTCCGAATTTCACCGAAATGGAGTTTGATTTGAATTTATGTGATCTCCGTTAATAACGGGTGATTTTTTAAGAGGTATAGGATTTGATTTTCAAAAAAAACACAAAAAAATTTGAAAAAACTATTAAATGTTTATTTGAGTCGATAGAACGGTCGATATAATTTAATGTTTAAAGATTATTTCATGTAAATGTTGGCCGCGGCTACGCTTTAGATGGCCCATGCGCAAGGTCCAATTTTGGCACACTCTCTCCAGCATATCGGCCGGTATCTCACGAATAAATGCTTCAATATTGGTTTCCAGTGCGTCAATCGTTGCTGGTTTATCCCTGTAGATATCTAGGCGGCCAATTGACGGGCCCCAAACGTGAGATAGACCGAACTCGCCTCTGAATAGGGCCATTGTTTCGTGTGCGGTGTGGCATGTGGCACCGTCTTGTTGAAACCACATGTCAGCCAAGTCCAGCTCTTCCATTTTGGGCAAAAAAAAGTTTGTTATCATCGCACGGTAGCGCTCGCCATTCACAGTTACGTTCCGGCCATTGTCGTCTTTGAAGAAGTACGGCCCGATGATGCCACCGGCCCATAATCCACACCAAACAGTGATTTTTTCGGGATGCGTTGGTAGCTCTTGCAATGCTTCTGGCTGGCCTTCACTCCAGATGTGACAATTTTGCTTGTTAACGTACCCATTCAACCAGAAATGAGCTTCGTCGCTGAACACAATTTTTCGATAAAAATGTGGATCTTCCTCCAACTTTGCCAGCGCTCATTCACCAAATTGGAAACGTTGTGGGAGGTCGTGTGGCTTCAATTCTTGCACCAGCTGTATCTTATAAGGTTTTACACGCAAATCCTGTCGCAAAATTTTCCACTTAGTGGAGTAACAGAGGCCCAATTGCTGCGAACGGCGGAGAATCGACATTTCACGGTCATCACTAACACTGGCGGATACAGCCGCAATATTTTCTTCAGTCCTCACTCTACGTCTGCGTCTTGGTGGTTTAATGTCCAATAATGTAAACTGGGTTCGAAATTTAGTCACAAGCTTCCGAATTGCTCCCTCAGTAGGCCGACCAAATTGCCCATAAATTGGAAGCAGTGCTCGATGCACTCTCTTAACCGAGCATGAATTTTGATAGTAAAATTCAATAATTTGCAAGCGTTGTTCGTTCGTAAGTCGATTCATGGTTAAATTATAGACCAAACTGATTAAGTTTGACAATGACACAAGACACAATTCACGCGTCATCTGTCAAAAACAGTGTTGCCAAAAAGATACTAGCAAAAAAATCACCCATTAGTTTTTGGTCTTGATCAGTCTGTTACGAGTGCATTCCAAGTTTCAGTAATGATACATGAACCAAGGTCAGTAATGTCAAGCCTTGCTAAAACTCGGCTTAGGTGCTTAAACTCTCTTCAACGCAGTTGGTGGAATTGGGCCTTAGATGAATAGTATGTTTCGCAAAGTCGGGATAGTCGAGAATTTTTCAGCAAAAAATTACGTTGCAAGATAGGTATTGTAATTCATTCTTCAAATTATCCACACGATAAATAAGTTATTTCGCGAATACTTGAAGGACTACATATCAGTCATAAAAATCAGGAGGGTTGAGTCAATGGTCTCTGTAGGAAACAAGAGACCTTATTCTTCTAGTACAGTGACCAAAGACCAAGACGTCATGACTAGATCTACTAAAAAGAACGTAATGAGAAAGCTTAGTTATATCCAAAATTCCATATTGTATTACCGTAACTGCAAAACGACTACAAGAAATCCAAAATAACTGTTTCCATCTGATAAAGAATTTAAAAAAGATTATGACCATACTTCAAGGAGCACTCATAGTATGGGATGATTAAAGGTCGTTGGGCTTTTCGATTACCAATTACTCACTCTTCTACATAAAATTTAAAATAATAAAAACCCATTATATTTGTCATTAAACAGGTTTAAACATTCTTTGAAAGATCAACACCTGCATAAATATGTTTATTTTTTGTGTGTACACATGTGTAATTGAAGTTTCAATTTCAAATTTGAATGTATTCACATAATTTTACTAACGTATGCCCTACAAGTTCTGGCACAAAATTCATTATCTTTTATTATAACAAACACAAAATAATACCTTGTTGCCTTTGGAGAAAAAAGCTTTTTCACTCACTTTACTGTCAGTTGACATTTGTCTTAAGTTTTCGCTTTAGGATGTCATATAAATTTGAAATAAAAAAAACTATCTACAAGTCATTTGCGCGGGTACCCAAAGCTGAAATCTGTCGAATATTCCAGAATGAAAACACTTCACGCAGAACAATTTACCGAATAATAGCGGAGTGCGAGCAAGGATACCATATCTGAATCTCTCAAATAGTGATAGACCACGTGCCTTTACTGCACCGAGGTCAGAGAGATTGGTGAGAAGAGCAAAAAATCAGGTTGGAATGTCAACAAGGAGGCTGGCTCCTCAATACAAACCATCTAAGAGTATGACCTCGTTGGAATTGAGGAAGAACGGTCTTAAATATCGAAAGAGACTCAAGTGCCCCAAATAGATGTCATCAACAGAGGCGGGTACACTTTGCTAATAGAAAAATCATTATTTTAGATGACGAAAATTATTTCACTTTGAGTAATTCTGAAATGAAGGTAAACGACGGATTATATACAGACGACGCAGAGGAATGCCCTGACAATGTTAGATAAAAACATAAGGCGAAATTTTCATCTTTGTCTGGTGCGCAATTTCTAGCAGGGGTGTATCTCAACCTTTTGTGGAAAGAATGATGGGTGAAGGTTTGACTACTCAGGGCTGTTTAGAAAAGTGCCTTTCCAGATCGCTTCAGTTTGTCCACGAACAACATGCTAATGACCATAGCATGTTTTGGCCAGACCTAGCATCATGCCGTTACTCTAGAGATACCCAAAACTGGCTTAGATAACACGTTCCCAAAAACGATAATCCTCCAAATTTGCCGCAGGGTCGCCCAATTGAGGATTTTTGGACTTTTCTCACTAAGAAAGTTTATCATGGAGGTTGGGAAGCTCAAGATAAAGAACAATTAAGACGGCGAATTTTCGAGAAACTGAGATAAATTGATCTGAATTCCGTCCAGGACTTCATGAAAGACATTAGAAGAAAGTTGCGTCTGGTAGAGCAGAATGGACCACTCCACATAATTCGATAGTATAGTTTAGCTATGTAGTGAGTTGCAGTTTATTATAACTAGTGTTTAACCCTGCAGTCCTACCCTTTAAAAATGATCCGACTTTCCTACCCGGGGTACAGGTATACGCCGGGTAGGGTATCAATTAATGAAACGTACTTGTATACCAAAAACTTGTATTTCCAAAAATACAAGCGGTTTTTATGTAATATTTGAACGCTAATCAAATATGTCTGTAGATCTCTTTGCTCAATTAATGCACTCAGGCACGACTTTCATTTGGTGCTTCAGACAGATGAACTTCTTGCACTTTTTGTACATGACTCTTGATTTTCTATCTTTTTTTTTCGTTCGCCATATTGGATTTAAGCACAGATGAACAGGGTTTCTCATTCTCATTTCAAAAATGTACAACACGTCATACATTGACGTTACCAATCCTTAGTTATTTCAAGCAAGGAGAATTTAGGTAGGCTATGCAATGATCAGATACCAGATTTATCTCAAAATCAGTTCTGTTTATCCTGACCTCATTTGAGATGGGGTTTCAAAATAAATTGCATCTTGTAAAAGTTATTTATTCTGCTCCAGTAGATGGAGTAATCACATTTTCAATTCGACGTTAATTCTCTCGACATTCATCACCAACTTTGATTTTTCGCATGGATGTTATAATGGAATGTTGTACACAGATGTTTAAAAATTTTGTCTGTCATTTTGCAAGCAAAGCTTTACACTTCTCTGTAATTTGTTCACTGCTTAATTTATTTCTCTTCTGCTCAGCCTTCCGAATACCGTTGCTGCACTCAATTTGAGGTTTGGTCCCGTATACGAAACAAATGAAATCTGATAATTTCAAGAGTTACCTAGGAACTTCTGTTCTTCTGGAATAAATAAAGTTCGGCAATGTCAATGTATGAAATATTATACATTTTTGAAATCAGAATTTAAAACTCTTTACTTCTGCGAAAAAATTCAATGGCGTCCAAAGGAAAAAACAAAGTTGGCGATGGAAGGTATGCACGCCAACCGAACACATTCAAAGGTAACCATCAAATGAAGAAGCTCAACGTACAAGTCTTGACTAATTTTTTAGCCTCAATATTTTTTCTGAAGGACCACGACAGTACCGATCCCAACGATACTAGTTATTAATGGAAGCTTGAAAATTTTGCAACTCCGAAACTTTCCAATTAAAATTTCGGCCTTTCCACCCCTTCTCCCTCCTTCAGCTTCCTTTGCAGCCAGCAGCTGCACTTCGAGGAGGTGCATTTGCATTTTTTATCGCAAGCGAACTCCCGAGCAAATGGACCTCGGCATTCCCTCAGGGCTTTCTGTTGCATTAAAATGCCTTCCAAGTTTCATAGATACGACGACATTTTCAGACGAGATACCTCAGACTACTCAGAGGTGGCTCTTGGGAATATTACCGTTATCTATTTAAGTTCGACGGCCAAGAAATTAATCCCCAGAGTTTTAGACTAGACTTTATTAATTTAAACTCAGATTCCTTATTTATCCCTTTGACACGAGTTTGTGCATAAGAATCGCGAAAATAAGAAAATTATGTAATTCTTCTTGGGGCTTGAGGCTTCCTTGGTAACAATGGACCTTTCTTTGGAAAAAATGAAACAATGACGCTTCTTTGAGGAACGTTTAAGGGAGGATTTAAATTTTCATTTCACGGTGGGCTGTAATAGTTGACACCACAAGCTGTGATTGATGTCACAAAGATTTTTCTTTGCTATTTAGCATTTTGATGATAAAATT